TTTCTGTCCTACTGGACAAGTCTGAAACCTTTGATCGGAGAAATAGAGGCTTCGGCTGGCCAGGAGGCTTACGAGTAGCAGAATTTTATTCCGTGGGCCGTGCGCGCGGAGCGACGCCATCTTACCACTACACAACTTTTGCCCGTTTTCTACCTAAATAGTATCAACTAATTAGTCCACGTCGCACTTGTCACCTCATAATTCGAAGCATAATCCAAGGGCAAAAGCCAATTTACATGGCAGCTTAATTCCCATTGGAAGTTTTGCTGAGTTTCTTAATTTTACACTAAGTTGAAAACGGAATCGTAGGTGACATTGGCCTTAAATAAACAAAGCGGGAAGTGGATGACCTGGGAATCGAAATCCCAATGGACCAAAAAAATTTCCGTTTTGGCTAGGTCGACAAATAGATAAAAGATTCATCTGGTACACAGTTACGTGTACCTCGACTGATCCTTGCAGTAAGGATCCGGACCGAAGCACATGGTATTAACCCACGTCGCGAATACGGCAGCGCACTGCGGGCCACGCCGTCTTCCCCAGTGAGTCATTATGCGGCCGAGTAAGGGGTAACTTAGTTTTGAAACCGTGAAACGTGCTATGTCCTGCGCAGTCCCGTAACAGTGATCTCGCCTTGCACCGTCAGTCAGGACGCTTGGGATACAAGAAATAATAAGAATATAGACTGGAAAAGATTGGAGAATAAGAGGTGGTTCGTTTCGCCTCTTACTCAGACGAACCACTATTTTAAGTTTTTGTCAACCCATACAAAGATATGGGTAGTCAAAAACAAAATATTAATCAGTGTGGTTACAAGTGAGTAAAGTTATGAGTTAGGATAAAAATGACAAGGAGTTAATGGTTTTTGTCAACCCTTGAGGCTCATCAGTGAGTAGGGTTGCCAAAAACAATACGTTAAAAGTGGTAAAAAATTAGATGAGAAAAAGGAAACATGTTAATATAGGAGATTAAAAGCAGAAGAATGATATCAGTGGTGTAGGTTAGAAATTAAGAAGAAAAATAAGAGTTAAGATAAATCCAAAAAAAGGAGATGGGGAAAAATGAGTGAAGGGAATGCAAGAAAATAAATCAAGGGGAATTAAACGGACAAGACGGACAAGATTGGTAGAAACACGAAATTAGGTACATATCAGAAAAAACTACGTTCGATACTCAGGGCGCCCGTCAGTGAATCCTTTAAATGGAATGGAGCAAATTACCTAGTGTAATGATATGTACAGTTATTATAATAAAAGGATGAATGTAAATGTGGGATAAAATGTGTAGAAGGAGTAGTTTATTGTAAAAATATGCTATAATGGGCAAAATCTTAATAGATCCAGTGATCATAATTATCTTATATGTTAGCTAGGAGGATAACATCAAGATGAATTATAAAGAAAGATGCTGATTGTTAACTATATTTTTAACAAATCCGTAAATGGCTTTGATATTATTATCAAGAGCAAACTTATATATAATAAATTTATTTCGATAAATGCATTTAACTACACTAGATATAATAAAATTCTATTCTGTAGCCATTAGATAAAAGGGTTGCGATCATATCTATGAGTTTAGTAGTGAAATCATAATAAATGCTACAAGTGTGAGCTATTCTAAGTGTTTCTGTGTAAATGACTGAAGCTTTATTTGTAGTTGAGATGTTAGAGTTAACATGTGGAAATCTATTGACTTTGAAACTAAAATCATCCGTTTTGTTGTATAGTTTTGTAACAATTCTATTATTATGTATAGTAATAGTGAGATCCAAGTAATTACACTTATCTTCAGAAACATGTGTCTTTTTCAATTCAAGTAAACCTAAGTACACATTTTCTAGAAGATTATCAATATTTCTTTCTGATTGGTTATGTATTAACTAAAAGATCATCCATATATCTGTAGGGTATAAATAACTTTATTTTTATTATATTTAATGTTTTTTGAGTACTCATATTCTAGATAAGAAAGAGTGAGGTCTGCTAAGAGTGGACTAAAATTACCTCCTTGCGGAACTCCTTTATTTTGCTTAAAAATATTAGTTCCAAATATGCAATAGCTATTTTTTAACAAATATTCAGTGTAATAAATGAGGTCATATACATTATAGTACCTGTATCCATCACTTTTTTCTTTTCCGTCTGTATAGTAGACAGAGTAACCATTTGTGGTTATTAAATGTTTATTGGAATTTTTAAAGCAAAGATTAAGTATTCTTTGCATATTACTAATGATTAAGTTATGTTCAAGGTTAGTGAACATATCAGTAAAATCAGCTGAGTATACTTTAAGATTATTTTCTCTTATGTTGCTTAATTCTGAACTAATATTTATATTATTTATAGACCAAAAGGTTTTTATTGTTCCATTTCTTCTTTGGATTATATTGGCGTAATTGATGAAATGTTTTTTAATATGCTTGTAAATGAGCTGCAATTCTAGTGATAGAGGTTTTAAGCTACTATTATGTGCGCCTGTGATAAATCTAAATTTTATGGGGTCTTTGTGTAACTTAGGAATTGCATATATTATTGGTAAATCCGATTCTGTATGTGTTTCTATTTTATTGCGTATGCATAAGAATTTATGATTGAGAATAAGACTATATTTATTAGTACATTGTATACGTTCATATAACATTATTAGTTGTATTATATTGAAAATCTTTACTATTTTCATTATAAACGAGTCCCATTTCTTTCATAATTATAAGGATGTATAATTTTTTACAAACAATGCCATAATTGTTACAAGCTTTATCTAAAGGACAAAATATGAAATACTTATGATAATATTTTAAAGCTTCATGAGGTATATACTCCATGTTTCCGATCAAATTTTGATGTGTAAGAAGAGGTTTGATCCTATTATAGTAATTATTGATACGATAAGACTTTTTTTAATACTTTGGTTCTATTGTTATTAATTTTATACTTATTTTTAAAAAATGTGATAACTTTGTTGACTATATCGAAATAGATTCTTTTAACATTGTTTCTAGATATCCCTGAATCAATTCTGTACTTAGTTCCTTTATTTAGAATATTTTTTAGTTCAGGTTCTTTAATTAATTCAAGATCTCCTGTAATAACATGACCATATGTTACATCTATGTATTTACTGAATTGACTACTACATATACAATTATTTTCAATAATACTTATGAGTCTTTGATTATCCAGATGTTTTAATAGTTTATTATAGTTGTAAATTTTTTCACTAACAGAGCCACAATATTTATAAATAATCCTAATGGGAGTGTAGGATTTTGAATTATTAGTATTAAAAAATAATAATTGTTTAATGCGACCTGAATTGAATACCTTGTTTAAGTGTATATAATTGAAAACATCGCTGTGGAAATTTACTATGACATTGTGGTATTTTTTGACTTCTTTACTTTTTTTATCATCTGCTATGTTATAATATAAGTGAGCTAATATACAGAATATTAGGAACCTTTCTTTTTTATTTACCTTTTCCAAGAAATTGCTATCACACGATAACTTTATGAGTTTATTAATATCTTTTTTATTAAGACTTTTAATCAGTCTATAATACTGTATAGGGGTTATAACATTTTCGTTATTGTTGATATATTCCAAAGCCGAATAATTTCCACTGCCCTGAAGGGGAATTTATTCAAGGT